TGAACCTACATAATCTCGATTCGATTTCGCCTTTCGAAACGATTTGACTCATCCCTTTTCTTCAAAACCTCCAACGAAGGCGTAGGAAGTATAGTTAATCTCCTTGACGCCGTTTTTTATCTTTAATTTCAACCATCGTGTATCTGGAAATTTGAACATTACGGTATGTTTCAATTATCATTTTTTATGATTGAGATGTTATTCAAAGTCTGTTAACTGAAATGAAAGTAAAACACTTAATTGTTTTTCGTTATTTAAATCCAAACTTATGAGAGAGTCGAGTTGACAGAGAAAAAGCAGCCAATGAAGCGAGCACCGCTCCAAACTGAAATTGCATTTTTTAAATGGTTCCACTTCGATCAACATTAAGTCTATTCACCGTTGAGTTTTTAATTAATCAATATTAAGTTATAAATACTGTCAGTAGTGTAAAAACACCTTTTCGATTCAATAGCGGTTACCTGTAGACAGAACAATAGAGAGGTAGACTGTTATTATTTATCGGAAAAATACACGTACAGCAATATTCTGCTGACACTCGGTTAATGCTTTTGAGGTGAAGACTTTAAAAATTATAGGTAGGCCAAGCCTTACGACTATACTATAACTATCTAAAACTGTAATGACTCATCGATGTTCACGTGAACATCACTTAACTACCAGTAGTCGGCTGTTCATAGGCAGGGTATGAATGTTTAACATGGGTGAACTAGATTTGTCACATGCTTAATAAAGAGTGGTTTGAAACATATTGTAAGTCAAAAATTTGGGAATTACCTTTATTCATCGTCGCTTCTACTTACATCTGACAGTAATAAACTGTCGCTATCGCTTTCCTCGTTGAAATTGACTATAACTGGCTCTATGATGGTGTCGATGTGGTGGTCAAGCTGCCACATTTTTGTTTCTTCCTTCACAACATGACGGATAGCATTCTGCCAAGCTTCGGGCGTTACTAGCTGTATGGAAGTCTCAAGTAAAACCTCAACGTCTGGTAATTTGAAGGTTGTGTTATGGCGCGCAATATAACCCTTCACTTGAGCCCAGATGAGCTCTATTGGGTTCAGTTCACAGTGGTAGGGCGGTAACCGCAGCACAGTGACACCACATTGACGGGCCATCTCATCAGTCACGTGACTAATGTTCGCAGGTTTGTGCTGTTTAATTTTTTCATACAATTCCGCTTTCACACATGAATCGTCAAACGGGATTCCTTTTTCGCGCCACCATTGCTGCATGTCACTTTTTCGAGATCCCATAGTCGGTACACGTTCGGCTCGACGACTATGGTAGGAAGCAATATCCATGACGATCACAGAGTTGGGCTCAACTCGCTGAAGCACCCCTTGAAACCAGCTCTCGAAGCAGCTGGAACTCATTTCGTCATGGTAATCACCTCCTTTCTTAGAGACGAAAATCAAGTCACACTCTTCTAAAAAGCCACTATCGCTACCAATATGAGTTACGATCAATCTTTGACCTTTCCCTGACGGTCCACGAAGACCTGTTGACAAACCTTCAATGCTTGTTTGTCGGTTACTCACTACGTTTTTGTCTATCCAGGTTTTTTTAACTGTGTGACCTGCATTTACCCATGTCTCGTCCAAATAATAGATTTTTCTGCTTTGTCGCCTATATTCAATCATTTCGCGTAGGTATTTTCGACGCCAGGCGACTATTTCAGGTCTCTCTATCAATACTGACTTCCGATTACGCGTTTCGTAACGAAAATTAATTTCGTGCAGGGATTTCCTCATTACCTCGACGCTCATTTGGAGTATAATTTCATTTTCCTTGATCGCTGCATGTACAGCCTTGAGGGTTGGTATCTCATTCCTAAAGAAGAATGAATGTACGGTTCGCCTTAATGCCATTTTGCTATCGTCATCCAATTTAACGGCCTTTCGTCCCTTCAAATTAAACTTTGGATCAGTAGTAGCTCCAGTTTTCTTCTTTTCATGCACCACCATGCGAATGGTCCACTCTGGAACGCCTGTCATACTTTCACAACGCGCGAGTGCATCTCCCTGCGACATAGTTCTGTTCAGATAATTGAACACGTTGAGCACGATTTCTTTCGCGTCCCTCTTCAGTGCTTTACGAAGCCGTCTACTTGTTCCCTGGCTTTCAGTACTTCCACTCGTACCATTTGTACTCTCCATGGTTAAGTATAACCAAAACAGTAACCACAGAAACCACAACAATAAGAATCACACAACAATTCTTATAAAAACACACAATATGCGATCGCTCAACGAAACACGTTCCAATGCGTTGTCGACGCCTATGAGTCTGCCGGTGGAGGCGCGTCTTTGATTTCATTGGTTCTACCGGCGGAGAACAATCAGCCATTATTTCCATCTCTGTCTGTGCTGTTGATGTTGATCACGCGTATGAGTCATTACAGTTTTAAATAGTTGTAGTATAGAACATCTTTGACCCTTTTTACCCATCCCGAACCCGTTGCTCAAATGAAATTCAGGTTGATTTAAAAAAATGTTGGAAGCTTATGGCAAATAGTAAAAATTTTCAGATACAATCATCCCCCTGGAATTAACGAGTACTTCAGTATTGTTTTTTCTACAGTGTCTCCGTGGACGAAGGCATACCCAGTGGTTTAAAAACAGTCCGTGAAAAGCAAGTACTTGGAATCTGCCACCAATATTTATCAAAAAATGTAAAATTAATTTATACAAACCTCTTACTTTAATTTAAAACACCTCTTAAAATTCAACACATTCCCGGATGCTTGGAAGAAATCCTATGTTACGCATATTCTCGAAGAAGCTAACTTATAACGAAATACTTTTTGATGTAAGAAACGTAATCATTCAGCAACAGCATCGTTTTTTCCGAAAAGGTGCCTAGATACCAATTTGCTTAGTTTTTCTGACTTGGTTTCCGATGCTTTGGACAGAAAGTCCAAGACCAAGTCGATAATATTTATACCGACTTCAGCAAGGCTTTTGATCGAGTTAATGATAATTTGCTATTGACAAAACTTGCTGAGGTAGGTTGTTTGTATAAACGGGTATAAATCCAGAGTCGTTATTCCATCATCGGAAGTTCCTCTGGGTAGCCACTTAGGTCCATTATTATTCTTCTTAATCCATATAGATGATATCTCACAATGTTTCAGCCATTGCCAGTTTATTCTTTACGCAGATGATTTAAAGATGTATCGTATATACTAAGTGACATATTAATCCGAACACCCAGTTTAAATGGTTTTATTTTAATAAAATTTTGTATAAGTACTTAATTCAGCATAATAAGTAAATGATAAAAATTTCAAAATGATTGCACTGCTTTAAAGCCCTTTGACCTTTAATTATGTGTGGATGCACCCTGATGTGCTACGCATTCTCCAACGCGCCTAGGCATGCTTCTGATCAGGTGGTCAATGTCCTCCTGTGGTATCTCATTCCAGGCAACCACCAACTCCTCTCGAAGTGCTTCTAGAGTCTGAGGATGACGTTGCAAATTGAGCAATCTCCTACCCATCATATCCCACACGTGCTCAATTGGGGATAAGTCGGGAGATCTTGGTGGCCATGGTAACAATGTGACATCATAATGTTGAAAGAAGTCTATTGTGACTCTTGCAACATGTGGTCGGGCATTATCTTGTTGGAAAGTTGGATCTGCCAGGGTGTCAAGATAGCGTAAAAGATGGGGTTCTAGAACTTCGTGGATATAACGCTGCGCGTTCATGTTACCTCTGATGAAGATTAAAGGTGACCTGGAACCATAAGCTATAGCACCCCAAACCATAACTCCAACAGTGTGATGAACATGTCTTTCAATAAAAAAACTGTGGATTCCTCCTTTCACCACGTCGCCTTCTAACCCTGGCACGACCATCGTGCATGCCTAAACAAAATCGAGACTCGTCACTAAAGACAATACTGTTCCATTCCTGATCCAGGACCCAGCGTGGCCGGTATGAAAACAAGCCAAAACTTCTCATTCGTCGGTAAACACTTCGCATGCCAATAGGTCTTCCGTGTTCTGCAAACCATTCATTTGCAATGGACCTGGTAGTGGAGAAACGGTCCCTTAAGGCCAATAATCTTAGGCGGCAATCTTCACTGTCTGTTGTTCTACGGCGGCGTCCAGTGCCCCTTGCTCTTTGCGTACGGCCTTCTCGAAGACATGCCTGACAACACTTAACCACAGTGTCTACACTTCTTTGCACTCTAACTGCAATTGCCCGAAAAGAAAGTCCAGCTTCCCGAAGTCCCACTATACGGCCCCTATCAAACTCACTAAGTTGACGAAATCGTACAGGTCTCCGTACTCTAGGCATCGTAACCGATCGTAAAGGATGTCAAGAACCAAAATCCGCCAACGTTGATTCTTTACTGCGGCTGAAATATTCATTTTTAGAGCTTAGTGAATTAAAAAAAAGCAGTATAAAAACCGGAATGTCCAACTGATAAGGCTGAAAATTTTTTCACTTGTTATTTACAGTAAGATAAATACATTTACCAACTTTTATTAAAATAAAACCACTTAAACTGGGTGTTCAGATTTATATGTCACTTAGTATATATGAAACCCTAAATAAAACGAATAAGATGTTTGGCTTTATTAGAAGACACTTTAGATACTTCAACAACCCTTCTACCCTGTTATCACTATATTATGCGTTTATACATAGTAATCTGTCTTTCGCGTTTGTTATTTGGAACCTCAGACTAAAAATATAAATAGACTTACCATTCTTACGGCACTGTAATGCATGAAGACAAACAAACCTAATTCAAAACAAATACAAACAATAAGCTGTGGATGTGCAGACCACAGCAGATTCCACCAGTGGCGTAGGTGCTTTTTTGTAATAGTCTTCTGGTTAATACACCCAGTATCACCTTCCATGGCAGTGAAAAGAATAAACACAGAGAAGTAAACAAGGTTTTATTATTGGAACTTAGTTATCAGGTTTATTGTTTCATAATACCTAGTACAAAGGTATATAAACAAGAGAGAGAGTATTATGTAAATAATAAGAATTGAGTAGAAAATTTCCTGTCCAGAGTATGAATACAAAAAAAATAGTAACCATGATCAAAAGTTGTATATAAAAAAATATATAAACAAACAGAAAAAGAATAAATAATTGACGCATCAATTTAAATATTCTGTCTTGATATTGAAGGCACAAAAAACTATTCATTCCTTAAGAAAGATATTAGCTTAAATAGTTCCCTAAAGTATTTAAAAAGTTTGTATCATAAATTCAACTCATTCGTTTTATTTAGGCAAGCAAAGACACAGATTTGGTTCAAACGATCTGACAGAATATGGTCTCTCAATGGATTCTATAATGGACATTCCAGGAGGAGATGGCCTAAAGATTCGGTCTTTCGAGTATTACATATTGTACAATAGTCTGTTTGGTCAACCCTGTATGAAATATTGTTTAGGAAGATTTTGAGACTACATTTATTGTGGAGCTTAAGTTGGATTATAAATCGTTTTATACATAACGGTATACTTGGGGATTTAGCGTACTCTGTAGACTCTGATAGTCATTTTAGCCATTTAGCGACGCAGTTCTGCACTATATTTTTCTTTTTTTCGGCCTCTTTGAAAATTGTTGAAAATTTCTTCTGCAATGGAGCCCTGAGAAATGAGGATTTTTAACAACAATCAAAAAATAAACATGTAATCACTTACATCAAGCATGTGTTGAGCATTCTTCGATATCATATTTATTCGCTTCAAATGGTTTGTCAATGCTTGAAGAGACCAAATTTTGTTTGCTTGTCTTCTTGTTTTGGCTCGTAAACAGTCAATTGTCTTTCTTTCTTATACGTGTTTTGAATGACTTTCCAGCAAATTGGCCTTTTAAGTGGGTTTTCCAAATCAGTATAACGTATATCGCCGAAGTATCGAATAGGTTTTGTTTTCATTCTGAAACATTCAAAGCTTAAATGCTACTATAAAGCAAATGCCAAATTTACATAAACGTCACCTTTTATCAAATCTTTACTTCAGGTTTAATTACCACCAGACTATACTTGAAGAATCAAAATAAAAGCTTAATACCTTTTCCGTGGAGGTTCACCATCACTATCATTTTCTTTGAGGTTATCTTCCTCATTGTCACCTTTTGCTTCTATGAATGTGTTTAAAATCCTGAAATAATGAAAATAAAATGCACTAAAATAAAGACTGATATTAGCTGGCTGAACTTGAAAATAAAAGTAGATAGGTACGTACATCATATCTAATTCTGAGACATGGGTACGGGACTGTGGTGTCACTGGGATACTTCCAGTACCTGATTGTGAACCACTTAATGTAGCGGATTCAGATAATGACTGGGTGCCTGACAGCGAAGCTGATAGGGTGCTACTATCTGTTGTTCGATCTTGTTCAGGAAAACTGTATTCACATACCATTTCTGTTGCTACTTCTGGTGACTTTATTTGTTCTCTGTAAAACATAGTCAAACTTCTAGATACTTTGGAGATTATTTAATTTCATACCTAGGTAGATCCCTGCTTTCCAGTTGTTCGCTATTTGAATGGCTTAGGGCAATTTAATGGGCAAGATTGATTTCATTCTTCTCATCACTGGAATCACTTTAAAATAGATAAGTAAAAGTATAGCAACAAAATATTCCATTTCATCCAATAGCTAAATATAATTAAGGACTTACACTGTTTGCCTCAAAGGCTCTACTGATGGAACTGCTGAATGCTTTAGTTGAGTTCTTTTGCCATCTATTAAATCACTTTTGTGAAAATGATTTGCGCAAATAAAGGCATGAAGTGGTAAATCATTTATATCAATATTGAGGATAGTGCACCATTCTTCTTGTTTTTTCTTATCACTAGGAAACCTGAAAGATCAAAAACGTGTCTAACAGAAGAGTATATTTTGAAAATCACCACAAATACAGTGTAAAAACAACCAATAACTATAAAATGCCTATTTCTTAATACTAAAAATCACAACGCATCCCCATGCGCTACGCCCTTGTCCTCCCCTAACCTCTAACTCACCTGTGGAAGGTTGCCTCAGTTTTTTCACTGCTAACGCCACAAAGAATGCAGTTCCGACGTCCCATTGTCTTTGAAAATTGTCTATCAATGATAACAATGCTATAATTGCCGCTAAAACAACCTGAAAACACTTTTGAATACTCGCAACAAATTCACTGTGCACAACAACAAACACCAGATGTTTGTAAATTCTGTGTACGCATCCACCAGTCCACCACTTGCCGTTGAACACCGTTGCCACGTTCGGCAAAAAGTCGGTAGAAATGTGCTACTTTCGAATGAGAGCAAGTTTCGTCCAAGGTGGAACAAAGCCAATCAAACAACTGACTGGGCAAAATATTATATGTAATGTTCGCTGTGAATTACCCAACATGAACCTGCATCCGTTGTGAATTGAATTTACGGCGTGTCGGCCACCTCTGTGACCGTTTTTGCGAGTATAAACAAATATGAAAAGAAAAAATAAATTTTTAAAATTCAAAATGACTTTGACAACTGCCTAGGAGCAGTTGTTTGATCGACCCACGATCGACCTGAGCGTCCACACCTTATTTAAGTCCACCTTCATTTCGGGCGGAGTGCACACCAATATCTCATTCCATTTTCAATAGATTTTTCAGTATGGAGAAGTGGCAGCGTCGCATATATTTGTTTACCGTAAATACAGTTATGTTGACGACGATATTTTGTAGGGAATTATTTGTCTATTTATATTTTTAGTCTGAGTTTGGAACCCACTGTACGAAGTCCACATAAAGAGAACTGAGTCTGTCCAACATAAGTTCTTGCATATTCTGGCTTACAAGGCGGGTATCATTGTCAATAATCTCGATTATAGCTTGGCAATGGCCAAGAGAAGGATATTAACTGATTTATGTTTTCTTCACAGGATCTTTAACAATCAAATTGACTGCTTTTACCTGTAATCGAAAATTACTATAAATGTACCGATAAGAATGAACCCTAGACACTTTACGTACTTTGGTATTTCATTTTGTAGAACGAATATTGGTTTATATTTTTGCTTGTGAAATGATAAAGTTTAAATAATTGACAAAAACAGAATGTTGGTCACTTCCTTGTAAGCTACGTTCCCATTATTTGTAATAGTTTTTTTCTTTACTGAATTGAATGTGTACAGGTTGTAAACGTTATGGTAAACATTATTGAAATGCGTAAGGGGGGGGGGTCAAAACAAGTCAAAAAGTTCATATGACTGATGATCCATAAGTCAGTAGATTTTTGTCTAAATGGCTTTATAGTTTACAACTTTAAGTGCTTTATATCGACCACAGTCACCACAATCTTACTAATTGTTATAATCTAATCTAAAACGTTTTTAAATTGGGTAATTAACAAATATATGGCATTAAGTTTTTCTAAGTTAAGCCAAAATTTGTAGTCAGTAAGAAAGTAAGTTTCATTAAATTGACTATTTAAAACACACTTGACAACAGCGCGTCGGTCATCATCACTCTTATTGAACCGGCAATCGATCGCAAACGGTAACAGAGGTTAGTTATCCAGTTGCATAGTTTTGCGGCGTTGTCAGATTTATTTTACTTTAAAGTCGCTTTTCTCTAAAAAAAAATGCCGTTCTGACCTCCATGTTATATGAAACTTTTTGCTTCTTTTAAGCCCCTCTATCACCCATTTAAACAATGACTATCATAACGTTTACACCCTGTATATTTCATATATGTAGATTATAAATAACAATCCTTACAATTTAGTTTGTTTAATTACACTGTAAATGTCTATTTTATGGATTTTCTCTGTTTCATGTCCCTAATTTGTTAAATAGGTAAATAAATTAAGACCTCGACGGTGCTACCACAGCAAGGCAACATTGATTTTTTCTTATTATTTTGAACAATACTTACAAGTGACAGAGTTGTACTTGAAATTTCTTTTCGATGAACGGTGAGTAGTTTTTCATTTGTTGTTGTTTTTTTTAATTTTCGCTGTTGTTTCAACACCCATTGTTATGAAATACCTAGTTGGTTCAGGACACGCTGTATAAACTGCAAACATTTATATCCAGCCTACGTACAGGGTATAGAGAAATAAAATCGAATGCACTACAGTTTATCTTAATGGAGTCACCTTATAAGTAGAAATATAGGTGGAATCAGCCCATGAACTCTATTCACCTGTACTTTTTTAACGCCTACACTATACAGTAACGACATCTGGTCTAGGTTAACGTCGCTAGCCAGACGACAAGGGTGTGAATCATTATGCGTGTTTCAGGTATTGTTCCAACGAATTACTATGTACAATAGGTTTGGAAAAGTAATGTCACATCTAGGTTGTGCGTTAGAAAATTTGAGAATTACAAGCTGACGTCCTCCTTCTAACGTGATTGTTAGGATTCAACTGGATTTTAGAGCTGCTGATATTTTGGAATCCTGATCCAATTTATCATAGTAAAAACTATAGTACTTTTCAGGAAACTTGTTAAAAAATGATAGAATATTTCAAATGTACTGTGATGTACACGTATCGAGGACCGATGACAACGGAATAATTTGATAACAGTTTTCCATTTTCCTTACTAGGACCGCCAGGATTGATAAATTCTTTTATAGATCATATGTAGGGGAATAAGAGCAGTTAGTCGTTTAAGATCTTTAGACGGTATTCGGATTGAAGAACTTGATTGCTCTAAGTGAACAGGAAAAACCAGACACTTAGACATTTCAATAGGACATGTCCACAAAAAACTAATTGATAAATCGAAATAAAAAATGCAAAATAAATAATAGTTAAAGAAAAACTAAAAAAGCATGCTTTTATAGCTAACCGAACTGAAAAGAAGAACATAATTTTTAATTACAAAGAGTTTATATTACAGTAGTAGAATCAACAGTGAAGCTTTAAATGAAATGATTAGATTACGAAATGATTCATAAGACATTTCAATACCACATATCCACAAAAAACTAATTGATAAATCCAACTAAAAAAATGAAAAATAAATAATAGTTTAAGAAAACTAAAAAAAAACACGCTTTTATAGCTACCGAACTAAATAGTAGAAAATAATTTTTAATTACAAAGAGTAGCTAAACCTCGCCTCATTGATATTTATTATTATTGTTATTATTATTATGTGTTTCCAATTCGTGGAATAGCAAGGTCTATGTCATATTTGTGAATATTACTCATACAGAGAAAGTTCAAATTTCGACTGTCGTGTTTAGCTCCAAACACTGACAACCAAAAGTAAATTGTGTTTTCTCCAGTTTACTTTTACAGCTTGTATCGGTGTTTCTTTTGTGGGTGATTAACCAAGAAAAATGATGGCTTTCAAAACGGTGATATACAATTGATGACATATTTTTAATTTATATCTTTTCACCATTTTAAGCAGCCGGTCTTCAAAAGTACCGATAAAACCCGCGTGAGACATGGTACACGTTGCGCTACCCACTTAAGTTTTGTAACGTCGCACCGTTTAAGTTAATGGACATTATATAAGGACATACTTTTTTGGGTCTCGAATTATTGACTTTTACTGAATCAACACGGACTATGGAGGCGTACTCTGGAGTGTTCCGTTAGTTATTAAGATAACAAGCTAACACTCGGATGAACTCAATGAAGAACAGGATCCATAAAGAAGGATTTTAATCATGGGCGCATAGTTACATAGACATCCGAGGGGCATGAATTTACGTTTCAATAATGTATCATTAATAAAAACAGCTATGAATTTAAGAAAATTGATGAGAAAAAGTTGACAGATTATTTGCAAGTGGTGACTTGGGACAGTGTTTTTTCAGAGAGTGATGTCCAAAAAGCAAATGATAACTTCTATAATGAATTATATAAAGGCATAGATCATTCAACGTATTATTTAAAAATAAATAGTAAGACTAGAAAACGCAAGCCTTGAATGACTGACGGTATTCTTACTTCGATCAAGAAGAGGGATGAGTTGAAACAGAGTTTGACGAAAGATAATGATAATTTGATATTGAGACAGTCCTATATCTCTTACAGAAACAGCGTAACTAATCTTATTAAGATCTCTAAAAATCAATATTATACACAAACACTCATTTTAGCTGGTAATAACTATAGGAAGAGCTGGGATGTTATTAATGAGGTACTAATGCTGGCAAAATAAAAAAAATGACGTAAAATCAATTAATCACAACAATCAGCAGCTGGACGCTCCCGCTGATATAGCCTGTGTTTTTAATAAATATTTCGTTGATATAGGTGAGCAAATAACAAGTCAGATTGATCAATACTCAATTCTTGATACATCAGATCCTCATGTCGTCAACATTGCTCACTCTATGTTTCTAACTCCAGTGGATAACATAGAGTTACAACAAATAGTTTGTAATCTGAAAAATAATAGCGCACACGGAAAAGATGGCTTACACACTAAAACTATCAAGATGATCATGAAGTATATCAGTCACCCTATAACTCATATTATCAACCTCTGTTTCAAATCCTCAGTAATTCCTCGCCAATTTAAAGAAAGCATAGTGACACCAATATTTAAATCTGGAAGTAAAGACAATATGTTCAATTATAGACCTATTTCAGTTATCAATGTATTTGGGAAGATTTTTGAGAAGTGTTTAAATAACAGACTTTGTTATTTTCTTGAGAAATATGACATAATATCGAACTGTCAATTTGGGTTCCGCAAAAATTGCAATACAGAGCAATTTCTACAAGAACTTACAGGACAAGTGCTTGAAAATTTTCAAGATGGAAATAAGACTGTTGCAGTTTTCCTGGATCTTCAAAAGGCTTTCGATTCAGTATCTCATACATTTTATTAAAGAAACTAGAAAGTGTTAGGGAGTGCGTAGCGGAGTTCTGAACTTATTTGAGAACTATTTGGCTGATCGATTACAACAAGTTAAGGTAGGGTCAGATTTAAGCAACATTCAAAAGATCAAAATAGGTGTGCCTCAGGGGACGGTTTTGGGACCAACACTGTTCCTCATATACATAAATGAACTACTTCGATGTAATTTCAACTGTAAAATGATATGCAGACGATACTGTTTTAGTTTGCACTGGTCGTTCATGGGATGACGCAATACGGAATGCCGAGTTGTCATTAAATAAAGTCAAATGCTGGTTGGATAACAATTTACTTAAACTTAATATCTCTAAAACTAAGTATGTAACGTTTTCTCCAACCAAAGTAGGCATGCCATTACACCACCGAACATTAATTATAAATGATAGTGCTGACACTGTCGAAAGAGTTGAAGTTATTAGATACTTAGGAATCACTGTTGACAGTAATTTAACATGGCAGAGTCATGCCGAGCTTTTGGCATCGAAATTAAGGAGAATTATTCATAAGTTTTTCATTCTTAGGAATATTTTAAGCAGAAAGAGTCTTCTCTCAATATATAACTCGTTTGT